GTCATAGCTTGATTTCACTCCCAACCACCTACCCATGATATCAATCCTTCCAGTTACTGAGCTTTGAGGAGCTTGTGTTGCTTTGTGAGTTGGAAAAATGCTGACCAAGTGACCCACATCTTGCATCACTGAGGCCCTTTGGCATCAGGAATGTCCTTTCCCTCCCCTGCTCCCGCGTAGAAAAATGAATTGGTATCGTGCCATAGAAAATCATGTTTAGGATTTCAAAAGGTTTTTCCTTGGAGTTATATGAAAACTCAGCAGGCAGAGGACACTTGGCCAAGCTGCATGTGTCTGACCCAGCACATAAGAAAGTTTTAATAGTTGCATTTATTAACAGTAAAGAGGAACAACCCTGAGCCTGGGAAGTCCCCTCTGGTGCAGGCTAGTGGCCTGCAGGGCTGGAGTCTGGCTGCAGGTCACGGCTTCATAGTACATGTATGGTCTCATGCACTTCATCTGCTTGGAGTGTGTGTGTGTGTGTGTGTGTGTGCGCGTGTGCATGTGCGCGCGCGTGCATACTCATGCCAGGTTCACAGAGTGAAACGTTTCTTAAATACTGAAACTATTCTGAGGTTGCAACTGTGACTTAAGAATTTCCCCTTTGAAGAATTTTTATCTGCGTGTAAAAAGTCCTCATTGGTTTAGAAGTGTGGCCCTCTTGCTTGGAGGGGCTTTGAGAAACAGCTTTTCCATGAACACGTGGGAACATTTATGATTCTCAGGCATATCACTAGTAAGCGGGTGCACGCAGGACAGAGAGACGGGAGTCAAGAGGTGGGTGGCATGCTCTCAGAGCCCTGGGTCTCCAGCCCACAGGCTCCAGGTGCACCTTCAGAAGATCAACAACTGGGGTGTGTGTGTACCACAGCTGTGGTCGGCGGTGCGCAGGGTAACTGCGGGAGGAAACTAAGCCACTCCGTCTTGGGAATGAAGAGCTCGCTTCTAGCTCACCTGCACATTGTAAAAGGGATGAGCTGGAACATTCTGTGCTCCGCTTCATTCTCACAGGGCGCGGCACCAATTATGGCACTCACTGGCATAAAACTGTTTGGGGACCTCAATAGGAAGCCTCCCTGCACCCCATCCCTATACTCCAAGGGAAATATATGTGTAAGATATCTTGTTTAGCAGCATACCGTATTAATTATAACTAGTAAACCTTCAATACAAAGGAAGATGAAACCTCATAAAATACTCTAAATAGAATTTTTTTTTTTTTGGTATAAACTTAGTATATTGTGGCTGAGGGAATGGCTCACTGGTTAAGCTGCCAAAGTCATAAATACCAGAGTTCAGATCCCAGCACCTGAGTCACAGTCCAGGCGTCTGCACACATGCCTATGACCCCAGCTCCCAGTGCAGGCAGAGACAGGACGGCTGTAGTCTTCTGGGTCTCGACCTCAGGGGGGTAAGGGTGAGCTGGGTTCAGGGAGAGACCCTGCCTCCAAAAGCAGTAGGCAGAGAAGGATGGAGAAGTGACACCTGCCTCCCTCTTCTGGACCACACACACGGGCATGAACCCATGTGCTCTTGCACAGACTCATCCCCAGAGGGCTTTTCAAGTGCACAGCTAACCGTAGTGCCTAGCTTAGTGCATATTACCTGTGCCTCGTGGGGCAGATACTAGCCGTTAATTTTCAGTTTAGATCAGAGGAGTAGTATTTGCTTCTCAAAAAAAAAAAGACCAAGGGGGCTAGGGAGATAGGTCCACAGAAAAGAGAACTGGCCACTCTTGTAACGGGCCCGGGGTTTAAATCCCAGCACCCTCATGGCAATTGACAGCTGTCTGTAACCCTAGTTCGAAGGGGACTGACACTCTCATCTGGCCTCCGCAGACACCAGTCATGCAGAGTGCACATAAATACATGCAGACAAGGACAGCTACATGCGTAAAATAAAAACAAATAAAAATCTAAAAACACAACTATCCTCCATTGGTAGAACCCTTGTCCATCACATTGGAGGCCTTGGGAGCTTTAGCATCACAGACAAAAAGAAATCAGCTTCCTGATCTTTAAAAACACAAAACACCAGCCAGACCTGAATGGTGCATGCCTTTAATCCTAGCACTCGGAAGGCAGGGGCAGATGGTTTGAAGCCAGCGTGGTCTATATAGCCAGTCCCAGCTCAGCCAGGACTACATAGTGAGACACACACACACACACACACACACACACACACACACATATAAAGGGTGGGTGGTGTTTTAGGGAGTCCGAGCTTCACCAGCCTCCTCTGTGAGTGGTGTTTATGCCGTCCAACGCTGTTTTGTAACAGCGTTTGAAAATTACACCTAAGTACAGCTGGTAGCCTGTCTACTAACCCAGAGCTATTGCCTGCCGATTACAGTGTAGACTAAGCTTAGTCTAACCATTATCTTGGGTTAATACACCCTCTTGACTCTTAAGTGCTCTTAGAAATCACAGATCAGGGCCCCGGGCTTGCCACTGTTTCTGGTCCTTTGTTCAGTGTTCTCTCTCTCTCTCTCTCTCTCTCTCTCTCTCTCTCTCTCTCTCTTCAGAATCTGGTCTGTGGACCTTAGGGCTTCCCTTCTCTCCCACCCTGAGCCTCCCTGCCGGGCTGTAGGAATCTGTTTATATCTCCATACCTACTTGTACTAACAGCCATTGAACTGTTCTTTATGGGAGAAACAGGCTGTCTGCTTATCTCCTCAAACAACAAGGCATTTATCTCTAAACAAGTTGAGTTTGGCCACCAGAGAGCCATAGCTGCTAGCAGGGTTGGTGTGCTTGCTAAGTGCGAATTTTGATAAGTCAGCTTGTGACCCAGGCTGGCTCCTTCAGTGGCTTTTTAAGTTCCCAGCCAAGTGTGAAACCAAGCACCTTCTGAAGCATACATGTGAGAGAAGAATTAACTAGAATGCCAGGCAGCTTCTTCTACAGTGTGGAGGCTTTCACCAGTGTTAGTCACTGTTTTGTGTTACAGTGGGAGAAGCTGGCAGTGCTCATTAAAGCATAATTCTCTCTGCGCGTAAAGAAAGCAGACATGAGATGCGTAGGGAAGACCGTGCTGCTTCATGAGAGGGTCCAGTCAAGAGAAAGGAAGTCCAGCCATCCCCAAATGTCGCTTGCCGGCAGGAAAGATTGGGTGGCTCCAAGCAGGCCAGCTTCCTTGAGTTCGGAACGCCTTGCTGAGAACTCAAGCAATTTTCTGAAAGTTTTAAACAGACCAAGACCAAAGTGTGAACCATGTTGCGTCTTGAGTCCAGACAATTGGTGACACATACCTGTATTCCCAGCACTTCGGAAGTGGAGGCAAGAGATCAGGAATCCAGTGTCAGTCTCGGTTCATAAGACCTCGTCTTGGTGGGGGGAGGGAAAAAAGGAAGGAGGGAGGGGAGAAGAGAGAGGAGAGAGAAGAAATTCTGTGTGTTAGTCCACAAGAGCTTCAGGTCCATGAGACCTCAGCTTGGCCTCCTAGAACGACATGGCTCATGGTCATTTCCTTGAGTAAATCAGTAAATCTTGCCCCATAGCAATCATTGGGTAAGTTGACCAGCAAGTTTGATCATCCCACCAGCCTCATAAATAAAGCATATATCTATTCCTCGCCCCCCCCCCCCCCCCCAACCCCAGAGATGAAGCTAGGCATCTCTTCAGAGTCTATGGGGGAAACAGTGGAACGACAACTAGACATGGGTGATGTCGCTCCCATTTGGATGAGCTCTTGGTGTCACTGGCCCTGCTTCTGTAGAAAGCCACATTTCATCGGGTACGAATTTGTGCCTTGTTCTAAGACCTAAGTGGGTATTGTGGGTATTTTACTGAGGACCTAAAATTTTATGTGCTCTGGTGTTTTATCTTTGTGTTTTTGTGTTTTTTTCCCCTAGTGTGGTTCTAGGGATGGACCTTGGGACCCCATGAATGCTAGGCTAATTCTTTATCACTGGTTTCCTTCCTTCCTTCCTTCCTTCCTTCCTTCCTTCCTTCCTTCCTTC